GTTTACTTACTGAATGGCAAATCCCAGATTGTATGAATTCATTTTTTCAAGTGGTAAACTCATCATTTGTATTCAATAGCTCTGAGAGAAAACCACTGTGGATGGCAGTACAGTGGAAACAGCTATTTTATTAAGATGTTGAGAACAACAATACAGCTGTAATTCACTGYGGAGTTTCCATATATTTTGTTCTGAAAGCGATGACAAGTTGATGATTTTGCCATAAAACTGTCAAATACAGCAAACTATTAAATAAAGGCATTTTTATGTAGTGAAACAGAGACATTCAGACTCTTTCCAGATTAGTTCAAATGCAGCTCTGCTAACAAGCAATTATAGCATATAGGTTTTCTTCAAAAACACCAAAACCAACCAACAACAATAAAAACAAACCCAAACAAACAAAAAAAACCCAAACCACTAAACTGAAATACCCCTTCTGAAGACATGGTCTATAAATTATTCATATACTTGTAGACTTGTTTTTTGAAACTGTCAAAGAGAATTTCAAAAGGAATCATTTGGTCCCAAAGAATAATTATTTATCAAAATAGTCTTCATTGAAATGCTTGTATTTATTGCTATTATTGATGTATTTAATGCAATAGAGATTAATTAACCTCACAAGTGATATTTTGAGAGTATAATAAATATCACAATATTGCTGAAGAAATACGTGTGTTACTTTGGTTTRTAATCTTGAAAGGGAGATTATTTGGTTAGTAAGAGATCACTTCTTCATACAGTTTTATAAATATTCATTTCCATACCTCCTCGATCACAGCCAGAAAACACATTACAAAATTGGAATGTAAATTTCTAGCAAAGTAAAACCATAGAACGTTTATGCACTGTTAGCTCTTGTACATGTGTGAGAACAGCAGTAGGAAGGACTGCTATGTAAAATTTCCTATATTTTTCTAGCAAGATCTAACATAGTCTTAGTAATTGCTTTGGAATTTCTGATTGTAAGACTGTATATTTGTTTTTATTATATCTCAGTGTAATTCTATATTGATTTCTTACACTTTGTGTATTCATACATAAGGACTGATGGAAAATAAGAGGAATTTTCAAAGTTTAATTACTTTTCAAAATTCAAAGTTGCTTATAAACTCACTCATTTTAAAGAAGCAACATTTTCATCAGCAGTAAAGCAAAGTGTTTCAGAGCTGTGATTCATTATGGAGAGAAAAATGTTATTGTACAGCATATGGTTCTGTTAGAACAGAATGCWTCTGCATCAAAAGAGCAGAGAGGTATGTTACTTTTTCCCACATCTCTTCCTCAAGACTACATGGAATTAATATTCTTATATATTCTCTAGTGTGTAAGTTGTAAACAAACTATGATTTACATAGAATACACAGAGATTTATATATATATAACATTATGTAAACATAACAAAGCTTTACTTTATAGAGCCAAGGTCTTTTTCATGTAGTATAACTCCAGCAGTTACACATAGATAATGAAGAAAGAGGGGAGAAAAAAAAGTTCATAGGAAATAATTCCAGTGTATGAGCTTTTAACTACAATTTTTACTTCAAAAGAAAGAACTAAATATATGCAATACTATGACAACTGTTGAAAATAATCTCATTATTATAGATTTTTTTTCTGCAATTCATCACAGACATTTTCTAACAAATGTCTTTTGACCTTTCTAAATTTTACCTAAAATGTTTACCTTGGTATTTTTTTTTATAAATACTTTAAAAAGGAAATAAAGTTTCTAAATATATTTAAAATTAGACTTTAACAAACCTAACATACATATTCCTACCTATTTCTACAAGCAGTGACTTCAGAGTGACTTAAGAGTTAGCAGTGTTAGCAGAGAAGCAAGAACCTTGAGGGTTTAATTCCAGTTGATGACGTGCCGACCCATCCTGTGACAAAGAATGCAGCTAACTCTACTCTTGTAGAGTACCTGAGCCTCATTTAGTATTTACAATATTTCTCTTCAGTGATATTGGCCAGGTGATTGTACGGGGTTGTTTTGTTTTTTTTTTTTTTTACTAGCACTTTAATAGCAAAAGGCGATGAACAACTTATTCATACAGATTAGCTCCACTTCTCATCTTTTCATCTCTCCAAGTGTGAGATGCTGTGCCTCAGTCTGGTGAGTGCACTAGGTATAAAGTCTATCAGCTCCTACATGATGACCAGAGCATTGCAGCCCAGCCCTCCCTTTCCTACACAATGGCAGCCGATGCATTTGTCCCCTGGCAGTGTGACATTACAGAGGGCTGCTTGTGAGGGTGGTGCACGGCTCCTGCAGAGGAGCAGCAATGTGCCAATGCTCAGGTCATGAAACAGAATGGATTAGCTGAGTGCTCATAACTGCTAAAACATAACCATGGTAACCTATTTGTATTCATGAGGAGGGAGAAAAACTCAGCAAACGGGAAACGGTCTGTGGATGAGGTAGTTAGGGAGGGTTTGCACCAGGATCTTGGTGCAAGGTACAAGTACAACAGAGTGGAACTGAGAATGCACAAACCTCATCAACACGAGGAGATTTTGCAATACAGGGCTCAGATCTGGCTGTGAGCCAGACTCCCAGGAATGGACCCAAGCACAACACACTGGGTGCAGCAGGCTGAACTTAAAGGGCAGGCTGAACTCAGTGTTTGCTGGAGTTCAAGGCAAAACACCTGCAGTAGGTAAGAGCACAGAGCTAGAGCCACCCAGATTGGCTGGGAATGAGGAGGGTTCCTAGTTCAGATCAGGATAGCCCTGTGAAGGTGTGGGAGAGGTGAACTACAGAGGTAACTGCAGCCAGAACRAGTGGATCATGTTCATACAGGTATTCAGCAGGCCTAATTCAAACCAAACAGAGCAATCTCCATCTTCTTCATACAACACACAAGGAGAAAAAAAAAAATAAATCAAGCAATTAAAAATGTAAAAATTACCACTGATCTTTAAAAGAAGTACTTTAGATGAGAGTATGTCAAATGTGACAAATATTCAGAAATACCTTATGTGTCACATTGTAAAGTCCTAGCATCTTTGTTGCCCTGGAAATATCATTAGCTCATTAAAATCCAAAAGTAATAAACACCTCTTAGTAGTGTTTAGTATTACCTAGAATTACCCAGATACGAATTAACTAAACATGAACAACCTTCACAGACCTAGTTTGCTGCCACAGAAAACTGGATCAAAAATGGCCCTGATCATACTCCAAGATGTATTTGAAACTATATAAAAGGACACAACCTATATCTATTGCACCATAAATTGCACCTTTGTAGACAAGGATATTGACAGTTTCAGCACAGAACACTAATAGCTAAATCCCAGTGAAACTGATTTTTGTACTTTAAGTTCAAAACTAACTGATAATTTGGGGAATTCTTATAGACAAAAATGGAGAAATCTTCATATAAATGTATTTACCACACTGCTAGCCACAGACATAAGCCATAACAGAGACGAGTTACCACATACTCATTCATGATTTACAGTCTGATAGTTGCTCTCCTATGCTGTATGAGAAAGAAGAAGTTAATCTATCTTAGAAGGTAAACTCACTTAAAGTGATGTGCAGTTTTCAAACAGAACAAAATTCAGTCATGCAAACAATTCACATGAGGACATATAGGAATTATGCTTGCAATTTTTTGTAAGTCTACAATTCTTCAGAAAAAAACTTGTACCACAATTAAAAATTAAAACATACTAGAAAATACTGAAGGGAATACTACATGTGTTGGTTTTCAATAAGCACTGTAAATTTAAAGCATATGTACACCATTCATGAGCATTCAAAGGAGTAGGTGATTCTAAAATTAATTTGCATGTCTAACAGAGCAGGTTCTTATGTAACATACAAGCACTTTTTCTTCTCAAACTTTAATAAAAACATACAGCTTATTCTCTTAGAAATATGTCAATAGCAGTTCAACAATGCTATTTCACATAGGATACACTCTAAAAGCATTTATATGTGCGACTACCAACAATGTGGTCCAAAAGTGCAAATTTGATTTCCATGCGATCCATCCATGGGATTTGGACGTAGTATGGAACGTACTGATGGATTAAAAAGAGATAATGTGTACATAGATATATTAAATTATTAATTATGGGGATAGAAATTTTAGCCTACATTTACACCCTCACAGTCATCAGTTTCAGGGAGCAAGCCCTCGTCTCCAGGCTGAGATGTACAGAACAGTTTGCATCCACCTAAAGTGAATTGTCTCTGCCCATAGGCAAAGCACTTGGCCTGGGTGTTCTCTAAGTTCCATAGCAGACCTCGAGGACCATAAAAAATTCATTTTTCTGAGTTTCTAGTGCTGAGAATTTAAGATAATGACTGAAGATATRTAGCAGTCCATCACAGAGGGCTGCTTCTATAGCATGACCTTGAGAGTGTGCTGATCATACAGTGAGGGGTAGAAGAACAAGCAAGCATCCAAGGGTGACAACACTACATCTTCCACAGACTTCTTCTGAAACTTAATCTACTCATTTTTCCACCTTAGGCACAGCTAGCTGGTTAAATCTGGAACGGGAAAACAGAACTGAAGAAATAATACAGAGYAATGCAGAGCATCATCAGACTTGTGCGTCAGCTGAGGGGAGATGAAAGAAGAGCCTGCAGCTGTTCTAYGGGGGATGGAATTGAAAGCTTCTTACAAGCCTGTGGCTATACTCTGTGAATTCTTTCTTTTTCTTCTCCTTGTGTAAGAATAAATGTGTTTCTTTATCTTCAGTGTTCACATTCTATATTTTGTACAACGTCCTTCCACTATGAAGACAAGCAATATGAAGTTAAGGCGAAAAATCAGAACTATGGGATAGCGGACTTTCACTGACATTTCTTCTATATGGGATTTGGAAAATCTGTGTGACAGCTGGCACCTGATGGAGCTCTACTTCTCATGGCAAAGGCATAAAGTATCTGCAAAATGCTGTGCTTATTAGACATGACAACATTTTCCATGTTTGCTGAAATGCCATATGAGAGCAGAATCACCACTTACTGCGGTCAGTAATTATCGTCCGGGCTTCTTGATTGCTCGTCTTGTTTTTYAGATTTTGTGCTGCAGTTATTAGTTCATCCAGTTGGGGACGTCTTTGCTCCAGATCCTGYAGTATTGCCTAGTTGAACACAAATACAAAAATAAAATAAAGAAACAAGCATAAAGGGGTCTTGAGAAGACCACATTCAGGGACTTTTTTTGGTCTGAACTTGATTTAAAGCAAAAAGATTGTTTGCTGTTTCAAATAATACAAAAAATTCAATCTAGATCTTTTAAATATTGTTGTTATTCATATAAAAATACCAAGTATAAATTGCACTAATACTTTTTAAAGAATCTATAAAACCAGGTACAAAATGACAATCATTCTTCAGTTTTAACACAACAAATTATCCAGGATATGCTATTATCCTCT